CGGCAACAGCAGCAGCTGCAGCAGCAGCAGCAGCAGCTGCTGCAGCAGCTGCTGCAGCAGCAGCAGCAGCAACGCAACCCGCTAGCTTCGGCGCTCACCCTTCGCGATGAGGGCGTATATGAGCGGCATGGTGGGGCCCTCCTTCCGCTGGGGCTAAACCCTAAAATGGGGTATTGGTCTAAACCCTCGCGGCGGCCGGAATGGTGAACGATAGACCCCAAGTCCTAAACCCTCGGCGGCGAATTAAAAGGCCGCGCCATCAAAACCCTAAAATGGTGTATAAGAGGGTCTTTTGTTTATCTTTTAATGCGCGAAAAGGCGGCGAGAAGGCGAGCAGGGCATGCGGCGGGGGCCCCCGTGCAGCAACACCCCGAAAGCCTGGCCCTGAAAGCCCGGCCCTGGACCCCCTAGAGCGGGAGAAAAACTGTTTTTGGAGTTTTTAATTCGAATATAAACTCGAAAGGGCCGGAAGGAACTCAACAACCCAAACACAAGTCTTTTCTGCACACTGCGGGCGCAGAGCCGCGCCAGCAGAGCGCCCGCGGCAACAGCCACACAGGGCCACGCGCCCGCCTTGGGAGTTATTCTTTTGTTCTTTTTAATGACAATTCTTTCATTGAAAGCCGCAGTTGTTCTTTATAATGTCTGTTTCAGCTTTTTGCCGCGGGAGAAGCGGTGAAGGACCGGCCGAGCTTCGGAAGACTGGACTGCGCAGCGCGCTGCAGCAGCCGTTGAGAACGGAATTCAACTTTCTGCTTTTTGCGGAAAAACTCCGAATTCGGAATTTAAATGACTATTCAAGATAAATAATTTTGAATTTCGCATCCAGGGTTGTGTCTACTTCCCGGGGATGCGGCGATCCGCCGGGTTTCTTGAACGCAACAACTCAGTCCAAGTGCCAGCAGCACTTTGCAGCAGCTGCTGCTGCTGCGCTGCTGCGCTGCAGCTGCCACACTGCAGCAGCCAGCAGCAGCACAAAGCTGTTTTAATAGGATTTGCTGCAGCGGCAGCCCAAAGAAGTTTGCAGGAGTTGCTGCAGGCCATTAGCCGCAGCCAAAGGGTCACCAGGGGAGGCAGCAGCCTCAGGGGGTGTTGCAGCAAAGAGCTTTTGGAGCTTTTTGATAATCTGAAGTCTTCTGAAGCTCCATTTAACTTTTTAAAATATTTTTTAACACTTTTGCGCAGCAAAAAGCTCGCGAACCCACTCCTCATGCTGCTGCACGTCTTGCAGTGCTGCTAGGTGTCCATAAGAAGAGTTCCTCGGGCCATTTCTGCAGATTTCAAAACCTCCTTTCCAGCAGCTTCTTGACCACTGGTCTGGTCCACCCCTCAGCAGCAAAGTCCACTGGGGGCAGCAGCAAGATCTGCCGCAGCAGCAGCAGCAAGATCTGCCGCAGCAGCAGCAGCAAGATCTGCCGCAGCAGCAGCAGCAAGATCTGCCGCAGCAGCAGCAGCAAGATCTGCCGATTTCGGGAAACTGAATTCTCCTTTTCGCGCTGTTTCCCTGAAGCTGAACTGGCATTCTGCGCAGCTGCAGCAAGCCCTCAAAGCTGCCTGTTTAGCAGCTCTATATGAGCAGCAGCAGCAGCAGCAGCAGCAGCAGCAGCAGCAGCAGGAGAGTGCAGCAGCTCCGCTGCAGCAGCGCCAACTGAAGAGCCCTTCAGAAGCAGCAGCTGCAGCAGCTGCTAACGAAGGGCAGCTGCTGCTTGCATGCTGTTGCTGCTGCTGCTTGTTTTGCTGCTGCTATTAAATAATAAAATGCGGAAAAGAAATTAAAACTTCATTTAGTTGAATAAAAAGAAAAAGATAATTTGGCATTGTTCACGAAGTCCAGAAGTTGGGAAGTTTTGCTGCGCTGCAGCAGCAAAGAGCGACAAAAATAGCAGCAAATGGAACAACGTGACTACGCGGCTCAAACGGTGCTGCAGCTGCTGCAGGGAATTAGTTGCTGCAGCAGCAGCAGCAGCAGCAGCAGCAGCAGCAGCAAATGAAGCTGGTGGCGCGGCGAGACGAGCTGCTGCAGCAGCAGCGAAAGGAGCTGCTGCAGCAGCAGCGCAAGGAGCTGCTGGTGCAGCAGCTGCTGCGCTGCTGCAGCAGCAGGAAAGGCAGCAGGGGGCCTGTGGGCTCCGCAGCCGCGATCTCTGAAAAAAAGAAAAATAAATAAATAAATAAATAATAAATAATAAATAATAAATAAATAAATAAATAAATAAAAGACTCAAAGCAAAGCTATTGCTGCGAGCAGCAGATCGTTGGGGGGCCTCCCCTGGGCGAGGAGTCTTCGGATCTGTTGGCTTCTTTGCTTCCTGCGGGCTTCTGCTGCTGCTCGGTTTTGCTGCTGCTGCTGCGCTGCAGCAGCAAGGACCACTGGTGTGGACCAGTGGTGCGCGAGCTGCTGCGCGTGCTGCTCGCGCTGCAGCAGCAGCTGGTTTGCTGCTTCCAGCGAGAGCTGGGAAGTGGCGTTTGCAAGTTCTTGCGTGGGAATCCAGGTGTCTGTACAGGGCACTTGAAAAGCCTCGAAAGCCACAAAGTTTTGAAAAGGAAAACTTTTAAAAGTTTCGAAAAAAGCGGCGAAGTCGCTCTTCACTGCGCAGTCGTTCACTGTGCGCCGCGCAGGCGCAGCAAACAGCAACTTGAACTTCTTCGCCAAGTCCGCGTTTACGGAACTTTCCGGGAGACCACTGGTCACGGGGATTCCGAGGGACAAGAGGAAGTCTGCAGCAGTAAAGCTGGCTTTTTTCTCTCCCGAAAGAGCCGCGGAAGCAGCAGCAGAGTCCAAAAAGCCGCTGCCCGGCGCCTCCTGCTGCTGCTGCTGCTGCTGCTGCTGCTGCAGCCCCGCTGCTGCGCGCAGCGCGTGCAGACTCTCCAAGTCCTTCAGCCGGCTGGTTGCTGCCTTGCAAACGGCCCGCAGCAGCAGCAAGTGCAGCGCGAAGTCCGTCTGCGGCTTTTTGCTGCTGTCCGGGGGAAACGGGCAGCTGCGCGCCGCCGCCACTTGCTGCTGCAGCAGCAGCACCAACTCGAGGCCCCCGGGCTCCCCGAGAAGCCCCCAAGTCGTATAAAGACTTTCAAATTCCCTTTTCACAGCATCTGTGGACAGCCGCCAGCGAGACTCGAGAGTCTGCAGCGCTTTCTCCGCGTCGCTTAAGTACCAGCCCAGCCGCAGCCTGCTGACTTCGACTGCGGGCTTCCCCGCAGATTCTGCGGCCCCAGAGACCCCAATCGCCGCCAAAATTGCAAATTCAATTAATAGTTGCAAAAACATCTTTCGAAATTCCGCAAACTGCGCAAAAACGCGCAAGATCGACGCAGTTCAACACTTCGATTCGCGGAAACGCAGCGCCCAGCCTTCGCGTCTCGAGACCGCCCGCCAGGTCGCCCGCGTCGCCTTTCTTTCTTCTCAAAAACAAATAAAATGGCTTTTAAATAAATCTGTTCTTTTTCTCCGAGAAAGTCGGAGCTTCAGGGACACTCCAAGCAGCTTTCCGCAGCTGCTTCGCTGCACAAGCTCGGCGCTCCCTCCTGCCGCGTACACTGCGCCCCCAGGGGGCATTCGACGCGCAAAATGACCCACAGAGAGGACAAACAACACAAAGTTTCAATTAATTGCGCAATAAAAACCACTAAAAACAGATGCACACAAAAAGAAGCTGCAGACGCAGTGCCACAGCTTCATCACGCTGCGGCGTCCGCGGCCTTGCACTGCGGAACGCGAAACTGCTGCGCAAGACCGCAGCGCGGGGACTTTTGCAAAAAAAAGCCTCTGAAAAAACAAAACTCCAAAAGAATGTTCATCTTTGGAAAGGAAGAACCATTCCTGACGAAGAACTGCCTCTTTTGCAGCGGACAAGGCCTCGGAAGATCTGGGGCTGGCAGTGCTCGCTGCTCCAGCAGCAGTCACGCGGGAGAAAAGCGGAAAAAGTCTCCTTGCGCTGCGTAAAACTCAAAAACAACAAAAGTATTCCATTTAAATGAACATTTCTTCACTTTTCCTGCAATTAAAGAGAATGCAGATGGGCAGCCAGCAAGAAAAGCCGCACAGCAGCGCAGCCCGGCCTAGCCAGCCCCCCATGTGACAGCCAGATCCCGCTGCTGCAGCTTGAACTTGCAATGCAATATAAACATTTAAATTGTAATTTTAAAATGTTTTTGAATTTAAAACTCAATCTAAAACAAAAAAACGAAATTTATTTTTATTTCTTTCTTCGCGGGTTCCACTTGCACACCCGAACTTGACACATACAGCGCAGAGTGGAAAGTTTGAAAGATTTTGCTGCAGTGTTTTCGTTTTTTTAAAACCTTTTCGATTTTATAAAACAAATTAACTTTTATTAATTCAAAAAAGAAAGAAAAAGAAAGAAAATGAGCGGAGGAGCTGCAAGTCTGCAAAAAAATAATTCGAAGTTATACAGCGCCAGCCCCTAACTGCCATATGGGGTTTCTTCAAAACTCAAAAGGGGAAAATGGGGCTGGCTGAGGCTCCTTCTTGCTGCTGCTGCTGCTGCTGCTGCTGCTGCTGTTGCTGCTGCTGCTGCTGCTGCTGCTGCTGCTGGCTTGCCTTTTTCTCGAGTTGCTGTGTTGCTTTTCTGGAGTTGCTGCTGCTGCTGCTGCTACTGGCTCGTAGCGGCTTTGTTGCTGCAACGCTTGCTGCTGCTGCCGTGGGGGAAGCTGCAGCAGCAAAACTCTGAGGGAAATTCCAAAAGTATAAAAGAAGCAAAACTCCAAAACTTTTCCAAAACTTTATTAATTCCAAATCTGCCAAATATTCTCTTTAAGCCTCTGCATGCGCATGCAAAGCAGCTGAGAAGCAGCAAAAGAATTCAAAGCCGCACTCAGGGAGCTGCCAGACGCAGTTGCTTCCACTCAGAACTCTACCTAAACCCTAAACCCTAAACCCTAAACCCTAAACCCTAAACCCTAAACCTTGATTATTGGTTTCGGTCAGCTGTCACTGCCTCTGCAATACCCGAAATACCATAAGGCTCAGCCTTAATTCCCCACCGCGGTATATCGCCAACCCTAAACCCTAAACCCTAAACCCTAAACCCTAATCCGTAAACCCTAAGCCCTAAACCCTAATCCCTAAACCCTAAACCCTAAACCCTAAACCCTAAACCCTAAACCCTAAACCCTAGCTTAGCGAGGCACTCGCTACCATGCCCACGGGCAAACTTCCATTCTTTTGCAGCTAAGGCTTATTTGGACTTAATTGAACTGCCTCTCCAGCATTAAATTACAAAATATATTAAATTAAGAAATATATTAATTTAAAATGCAAAAAATAAAATAATTCGAGAAAAATAGTCCAAGATGTTCAAAGTTGGACTCCCTGTGAAACATATCCATTTCGAGCGCCACGGGTTTCTTTTTCACTCAAAAAAGCTCTTTAATACCTTTTTTATTATTTTAAATTACACAATTACAATTAAATACTTTTTTATTGTTTAAAAATGCAAAATTATAATTATTTAATCGTTAGTTCTGAAGTTTCCTTCTTTGCTGAAACCACCCCTGGGAAAGGCCCGCAGTGAGTTCAACAAGAGGAATCTCGGGCTATTTTTCATGAATTTCTGCATTTCTTTTGACTAAAATATATTTTTTTAGATTTAAATTTTTAAAAAGATGCAAATTTAATTAAAAAACAATTCTGCTTCCCTCCGAGCTCTTCGAGCTTCCCTGGAAGCAGTCTTTTGCTGCTCTCGCCTGCTGCAGCAGCAAACATCTACATGATCTACAGCTTGTGCTGCTGCAGCAGCAGAAGCAGCAGCAGAAGTTTTAATTCATTTTAATTTTCTTTTTTGGATTTTATTTTCTTTTAATGCTTTTTTACCAGCCCCTCAGTTCCGCAGCGCTCTGGTGCAGCGCTGCCGCCCGGCTCACCGGAAGAACTGGGGGCTCCGCAGCCAGTTTGGTGTTTTGGTGATTTAATTGCATTCTTTTTGTAAACTTAAAAGTCTAATAATCCCAAATTAGTATTTATTATGTTATAATAATCTTTTCTCCAGCAATAAAGCTGCTGCTGGGCGGCCGGCGTTGCTTATCGGTTTTTATTTCTAAGCGCTGTGCTCAGCCGGCCTTCGTCCAAGAGAAGCTGCACTTACACTGCGGCCTCAGGCCCATTAAATAGCCACAAAAATGGAAAGATATAAATATTTATTATTATTAATTATTTAATTGAATATTAGAAAGGAAGCAGCAGAAAAAAAGGAGCCTCAGGCCCTGAGATCTTCTCGAAACGACGCCGTCATCTCCTCTTTCAGGAGTTGCATGCAGCTTTCCGAACACGATCTGCTGCAGGCGCTGCGCATTTAAAGCTTTTTAAAAGCTTTTGAAGTCCCTTTTTGCAAATTGAAACTCCAAATGGATTAAATGCAAAAGAGAATCCACGCCGAGCCGCGCAGGCATTCGGGAGGCAGTTGGAGGCATTCGGACTTGTGCTTTTTCCAGCTTAAAAGCCTCATTTTGAAGTGGAATAAGAAAGGAAATAAGAAATGTACTATTTGTGGTGCAAGTGCTTGGCTTTGGCAACAGATTAAAAGGGTATTTCCCGAGAATTTGGCAAAGTTGAAGAGCCCTTTGCCCCTTCTGCTGCTTCTTGCCAGCACTTTTTGAACACCATTTGCTGCAAAAGCCCCAAATATGTTTTTTGAAGAGGCAGAAGCACTTTGGGCGAAAGTTGCTGCTGCAGCAGAAGTGCATTTGGGTCAACTCCAGACGCCCAGTGGCTCTTTTTGGAGGTTTTCTTCGCTCCATTTCCTAAAATAGTCAAAAAAGAGTTTCCCAAAAGCTCTAAAGCTTTGAAAACGCATTTAAAACAAGTTTTGAAGTCCCAGAAAGAAGCCACAAAGGGTTTTGGACTTGCGCAAGCCTCTTCCAACTTCGACAGGGAGCTCAAAATGCAAAATGCTGAACTTTGGGACTTTTTTCGAGCTTCCAGTGACTTTAAGCCCTCTAAAAACTCATAATAAACAATTAATTTGAATTAATTGCATTTAAATTCCGCAGTAAGAGGGAAAAGGCCTGCGAGGCACACTCGCCTATCCGAAGTGGGCAGTAAGGGAGCAGCGGCGGCGGCGCCTCTGAGGAATTGTGCGGGAAACAGCACTCAAATAAAGGCTAAAGGGTTTTTATTTACATAAAATACCTCTTTTTATTCAGAAGACAAAGTGCGGAGTTGCAAAAAGGGAGATATCCGCGCGTTCAGCTTTCTGCACAGCGCGGACGGGCGGCGGTGGAAACTTCTGCTGCCTGTCTTCCCCACGCCCCAAACTCCGGGAAAGCGGATCTTTTTATTATTAAAAAGAATTGAAAAGTCTATTTTCAGCAAACAAGTCGAGTTTGCCCAGCACTTTGCCCCCGACTCGGCCCCACAGAGCTCTGCCTGCTGCGCCCGCGGGTGCCTGTGAGTTCCGCGGCCCCGCGCCCCACTTTCTCCTCGTCTCCGCGGAAAAAGACGAATTTGCGGCGAAAAACAATTTTTTATTTCCAAATATTCCTCGAAAAAAGGCAGCAGCCGCGAGAAAGCTGCGCTGCTGCAGCAGCAGTGACCGCAGGTGACCTCCGCGCCGTCGCCGCTCTCCACGGGCCCAGCCACGCCCATGCAACTTTTTGCTGCTCTTCTTTGCTGCTGCTGGATAAGGCAGAAGTGCCATTTCAAGTAGATTTTGGGGTGTACATACACCGCAGCTCGCGATGGAGAGCAGCAGCCGTCGCCAGCTGCAGCTTCGCCCCAAAGCGCCGTCGCTCTTCCCTATGCAGCAAACCCTAGGAGTTCCAGCAGCAGCAAGAGGGGCTCCTGCTGCAGCAGACCCCTCGAGTCTGCGTTTTAGGTGGGGAAGAGGCTTTAGGGGACCCCGCACAGACTCTCCCAGTCGGCTGCAGCAGCAGCAGCTGCAGCAGCAGCAGCTGCAGCAGCAGCAGCTGCAGCAGCAGCAGCTGCAGCAGCAGCTGCAACAGCAGCTGCAGCAGCAACGCAGCGCCTGTTCGCCGCATCAACCTGCCAAAGGGCATACCGCCATTGACATGCCGGCAGCAGCAAACGAGGGGGCGACAGCAGCAGCAGCACCAGCTGCAGCAGCAGCCACAGCTGCAGCAGCAGCTTCAACGGCCGCAGGGGCTGCAGCAAATGCTGCAGCAGGAGCAGCAGCAAAGACAAAACAAAACAGAACACTGTGCTGCGGTGGCAGCATGCTGAAGATCCGCACTGCTGCCACCAGCTCAGCAGCAGCAGCCGCAGTTGCAGCAGCAGCAGCAGCAGCAGCAAATCCAGCTGCAGCACCAACGTCAGCCTACTTAGAGCGGATTTCTACTCGTCTCAAGACTCTCCTTTTGTTTGCTGCTGCGCTGCTGCTGCTGTCTCTGCAGTGCTTCGGCTGCGCTGCAGCAGCAGCAGCAGCAGCAGCAACTCAGGGCGCTGCAATGCCGCAGCAGCAAATGCTGCAGCAGACGATAGACAGGGGGCTGCAGCAGCTGCCTCCGCTTGCAGGGCCTGGGCAGAACTTGCTTCAGCAGCAGCTGCTGCAGCAGCAACAGATAAATCGACGCGCGCAGCAGCAACACCAGCTGCAGCAGCAACAGCTGCTGCAGCAGCAACAGCTGCAACTCATTAACCAGCAGCAGCAAGGCCAACGTGTCCCCGTATCATTGGGCCAACAAGTAGGGCAGCAAGGCGGCCCGCTGCTGCAGCAGCAGCTGCTTCAGCAGCAGCTGCAGCAGCAGCTGCAGCAGCAGCAGTTGCAGCAGCAGCTGCTACAGCAGCAGCAGCTGCAACAGCAGCTGCTGCAACAACAACAGCAGCAGGGGCTGACACCCTTTCAGCAGCAGCAATTGGAGCAGCTCCTTCAGAAACAGCAGCAACAGCAGCTGCAGCAGCAGCAACCGCAGATGCAGCAGCAACAGCCTTCTGGCCAGTTTGACCAGCAGCAGTGGCAGCGACTGGAACAGCAGCAACTGCTGCAGCAGCAGCAGCTGCAGCGGCTGCAGCAGCAGCAGCAGTTCCTCCAACAGCAAGCATGGCAGCAGCAGCAGCTGCAGATGCAGAACCAGCCCCCGTACCGGGCCGCACTCAGAGCTATGGACACTCCTGCTGCTGCTGCTGCTGCTGCTGCTGCTGCTGCACCAGCTCCCAGCGCACCGCTATCTCCTGCTGCAGCAATTCTTGTTAAGAGCCTCCGAGGGGTCTTGGGAGATCTCTCGAGCAGCAGCAGCGCGTTGTCTGTGGAGCAGCTGACATCTTTAGTGCTGCAGCACCTGCCGCTGCAGCAGCAGCGGCAGATATATTTGCAGCTGCAGCAGATGCTGGGGCCCGAGCAGCAGCAGCAGCAGCAGCAGCAGCAGGCGGCGCCGCTGCAGCAGTTGCGGCAGGGCCAGCAGCAGCAGCCGCTGACGCCGCAAGAGGCCACAGACCTCACAAAAGCCACAGCCCTCATGTCAGCAGCAGCAGCAGCAGCAGCAGCAGCAGCAGCAGCAGCAGATGAAGAACTAATAGCTGGGCAAAGCGCAGACCAGTGCCTCCCCACAGAATGCCTCAGCAGCATTCAAGGGGGGCCCCCAGTCTGTGGGTCTGATGGAATAACCTATGAGAGCAGATGTGCTTTGCTGCAGAAGGCCTGCAGCAGCAGCAGCAGCAGCAGCAGCAGCAGCAGGGGTGTGAAGCTTTCGGTGCAGCACGAAGGGCCTTGTTCGGGGCCGCAGCAGCCACAGCAGCAGCTGCAGCAGCAGCTACAGCAGCAGCAGCTTCAGCAGCAGCTGCAACAGCAACAGCTACAGCAGCAGCAGCTGCAGCAGCAGCAGCTCCAGCAGCAGCTGCTGCAGCAGCAGCGCCTACAGCCACAGCCGCTGCAGCAGCCACTGCAGCAGCACTTACTACCCCAGCCACAGCCGCTGCCGCAGCAGCCGTTACAGCCCCAGTTGCCGCTGCAGCAGCAGCTCCAGCCCCAGCTGCCACAGCAGCCGCTGCCACAGCAGCAGCTGCAGCAGCAGCAGCTGCAGCAGCAGCAGCTGCAGCAGCAGCAGCTACAGCAGCAGCAGCTGCAGCAGCAGGCGTTTCGCGTTCGGGGAGCCGCCCTTGCCCGTGCGACCAGCACCACGACGGCGCCCCCTGCTGCGCTGCAGGGCCCCCACCCCCAGCAGCAGCAGCAGCAGCAGCAGCAGCAGCAGCAGCAGCAGCAGCAGCAGCAGAAGCACCGCAGGTGCAGACTGGAGTGCCCCTCCGGGGGCGTGCGGGTCTGCGGCAGCGACGGGCAAACTTATGCAAACGAATGCGAACTAATAGCCTATGCTTGTCTGCAGCAGCAAGACATAAGCCTGAAGCACATGGGTCCTTGTCTGAAAGCAGCAGCAGCAGCAGCAGCAGCAGCAGCAGCAGCAGCAGCAGCAGCGCCTGCTGCCGACGCTGCGCCGCCCCCGGAGGCGGAGGACGCTGAGCGGGGCAGCAGCAGCAAACCCAAAAGTGCTGAGTGAAGCTGCAGCAAAACAAACACTTGATTTGCACTAATGTGCAGACACAACAGCAACTGCTGCTGCTGCTGCTGCTGCTGCTTCTGCTGCTGCTGCTGCTGCTTCTGTTGCTGCTGCCTTTGCTGCAGCTCCTGCTGCAGCAAAGCCAGCTTTTCCTGCTGCTTCCGATACTGCCTCTGCTGCTGCTGCTGCCTTTGCTGCTGCTGCTGCTGCCTTTGCTGCCGCCGCTGCTTCTGCTGCCAACTCCGCCACATAGCCCTGCACTGCAGCAACAGCAGCAGCAAAAGCAGCAGCAAAGGCAGCAGCAAAAGTTCATGAACACATCACCTCGCGAGATCTTCCGCAGCCCCCTGACAACACACTACCATGCAGCAGCAGCTGCTGCTGCTGCTGTTGCTGCACAGCAGCAGCAGCAGCAGCAGCCACTCCATGTGGCGCAGCTCAAGCAGCGACACAGCTAGCTTGCTGCGGGCGCTGCTGCGCTGCCGCTGCTGCAGTTGCTGCTGCTGCTGCCCCGGAGGCCCCCCCAAGTGCAGCAGCAGCAGCAAGTGCAGCAGCAGCAGCAGCAAGTGCAGCAGCAGCAGCAGCAGCAGCAGCAGCGGCTGATGCATTATGAAGGGAGCACCCAAATGCTAGAGGGCTTTTCGCTCTCTGGAAAATACTAGCGAACAGGTTCTGGTGTATGTACACCCCAAGTAACCCTAAACTGTAAATTCGCCTGTTTACTTCTATGTGCAAAAAGGCGAATTCTAAACCCTAAACCCTAAACCCTAAACCCTAGACCCTAAACCCTAAACCCTAGACCGCTGCGCGTAAACCCCAAACCCTGGACTCTGGGGCCTTGTTTCTAGCCGCCAACTGAGACTAAATAGCTCCAAACCCTAAACCCTAAACCCTAAACCCTAAACCCTAAACCCTAGATTGTAGACTCTGGACTACGCTTTTTGCTGTAAAGTTTTTAAATAGAATTCTGTGGCGGCGCAGAGCCCGCGAAGCTGTTCCGGGTGTACATACACCTCATTGCTGTTGCACTGAGGTGTATGTACACCTCAGTGCAACCCGCAAAATATGCATTTGCCGGTTTAAATGCAAATAAAATATTTATTTTAATTATTTTAAATAATTTAAATGCAAAAGTGAGTTTAAATGCACACCTGAAGACACTCAAAGTTCTCTTTTGTCCAAATATTTTTATTTTCACGTTTTTGCTGCTGCAGCACTGAGCTGCTGCGGTGTACAGACACCGCAACCCAGGCATGAATAAACACCAATGCTTTTCTGCATGCAAAAGCTCATTTATTTAATCCAACAAATCCTTTGCATGCACAAACTATTCTTTTGCAATAATGAAATAAAACAAATGTGGAAAAGCATTTTAAAATGCCGAAAAGAAAAGACGGAATGCTTGCTTCTTCAGGTGTATGTACACCTGAAAACGCAAATTTTCATTTCTTTCTTCGAATGCATGCAAATATAAAAACTTCGAAGAAATGCGCAAACATACATATCTGCATATATATATATATATATGTATATTATATAATAATTATATATATATATATATATATATATATATATATATATATATATATATATATATATATATATATATATATATTTGAAAACACATATATACATTGATGTGCGGCTAATATATATTATGATTTAATAAGAACAGATATAACACTTTTGTGTCCATTTGTAATTAAGGCTCTAAAGGGCCCCTTTTTGGCCTCCTTGGGCCCCCTGGGGCCCCCTGGGGCCCCCTGGGGCCCCCTGGGGCCCCCTGGGGCCCCCTGGGGCCCCCTGGGGCCCCCTGGGGCCCCTTGGGGGCCCCCAGGGGGCCCCTAAGGGCCCCCAGAAGGGCACCTTGGGGTTTTGGGGGCCTTGAGGGGGCCCCCAAAGGGCCCCCATCGCCTTCGTGGGGGCCCCCGGGGGGCCTCCCTACTGCTGCTGCTGCTTGCTGCGGCTTGCTGCTGCTTGGGAGCCCCTTGCTGCTGCTGCTGCTGCTGCTGCTGCTGCTGCTGCGCCAGCTGCCCGCCCATGAGGCTTTGGGGGCCCCCTTGGGGGCCCCGGCTTGGAGAGGAAGCAGCAAATGGGAATAAATTAAAAAGAAAGAAATAAAAAAAGTATTTATTAATAAATGCAATTTAAATTAAATTATATTTGTTTAATTGTTTGAAATTAAATGCAAATTAAATCAAAACAATGAAACCCTAAACCCTAAACCCTAAACCCTACAAAAATGTTAATTTAAAAAGAAGTTTTAAATAATTTAATTTTAAAATATAAATCATTTTATTTAATTCAAAAGTATTAGTGGCTTTACAGTGCCAAATAAATTAATTAATTGGCTTCAAATGAAACCCTCCTGCAGGCGATAAGCCCTGGGCCAGCAAACCCTAAACCCTAAACCCTAAACCCTAAACCCTAAACCCTAAACCCCAAACCCTAAAAACCCCAAACCCTAAACCCTAAACCCTAAACCCTACTCGCACAGGGTCACTAAATCGACGGCCAGTGCCGACGCATGCGGCCTGTGTTGAGCTGAAGAAAGAAGAAATAAATCAGAGCTTGTTGCAAGTTTAAAAAGCCCCTAAACTCTAAACCCTAAACCCTAAACCCTAAACCCTAAACCCTAAACCCTAGGGTGCACGGCCGCTCCGCGCACCCTCGAGATCTGCAAATGGCCGCAGAAGAACAAAAAATAATTAAATAAATTCCTTTTAATTAAAACAGTTATTTAATAGCAAAATGCAGTTATTTTAAACCCAGATTTAGGGTTTAGGGTTTGCAAACCCTAAACCCTAAACCCTAAACCCTAGCCGCCGCGCAGCACCGTCTCCACCGCCTCGTGTGCGCTGGGCTGTGCTGTCCGAGTCCCCTCAAACCCTAAACCCTAAACCCTAAACCCTAGGCGTCCGTCCCCAAGCCCTAAACCCTCAACCTAAACCCTAAAGCTAAACCCTAGTGTTTCATTTCGCTGTGTCTTTTCCCCCTCTGTGTTTTCGTGTGCAGCGCCATCTCGCCGCCTGCTGCTAGGGTTTAGGGTTTAGGGTTTAGGGTTTAGGGTTTAGGTTTCGAAGCTCCTCAAGCCAAAAACAGCTTCTTGCACATCCCGTTTCTTGCTGCTGGAGCTTCTAGCTGTCGGCTGGCTGTAAACCCTCGCTGCCTCGTTAGCAGCAGCAGCAGCAGCAGCAGCAGCAGCAGCAGCAGCAGCAGCAGCAGCAGCAGCTGCAGCAGCACGAAATGGACTGGCTTCACCCCGACATTGGATCTAGAAACCCTAAGCCCTAAACCCTAAACCCTAATTCCGCAGTGTGCTGCAGTCTTTGCGCTTTGTTGTCTTGGGGGTCTTGCTGCAGCCGACAGGCAGCAGCAGTGGAGCAGCAGCAGCAGCAGCAGCAGCGGCTACGCCAGCAGCAGCAACAGCAGCAGCAGCAGCAGCAGCAACACCAACGGCCTTACTATGGATATATTTCGATTGCTTAAGTGCTGCCACAGGCACAGAAACAGAAGAAACACGCACACACCCGAAGTACGCGTTAGGGTTTAGGGTTTAGGGTTTAGGGTTTAGGGTTTAGGCCGAACGCCGGGGAGTTCAGGGTTTTGGGTTTAGGGTTTAGGGTTTTGGTCTGCTGCTGCAACACATCTTCACGATCCCAATTTATTTCAGCCAAATTTGTTGCTGCTGGCGGTTTTGCTGCTGCTGCTGCTGCTGCTGCTGCTCGCTGCTGTCACAGTTCTTGCTGCTGCTGCTGCTGCTGCTGCTGCTGCTGCTGCTGCTCTCGCTAGTTCTGCCTGTGCAGCTGCTGCCGTTGCAACTGCTGCAGTTGCTGCTGTTGCTGAAATAGCAGGAGTTGGAACTCACGCTTTAGGACCTAGGGTTTAGGGTTTAGGGTTTAGGGTTTAGGGTTTAGGGTTTGCGGAATGCCTGCAGTACGACGGCCTCGCTACGGCGGTGAGGCACACACAGGAAGAAGAAGAGGAGGAGGAGCAGCAGCAGCAGCAGCAGGCGAAGCAGCAGCAGCGGCGGCAGCAGAAGCAGCAGCAGCAGCAGCAGCAGCAGCAGCAGCAGCAGCAGCAGCAGCACAAGCTGCAGCATCCCTCCATATCTGCTTCGAGAGAGTCGCAGAAGCTTTCTAGTGCTGCAGCAACTGCAGCAGGCGACGTGCTGCCAGAAGCAGCAGCAGCAGCAGAACCTGCAGCAGCAGCACCTGCAGCAGCAGCACCTGCAGCAGCAGCACCCGCAGCAGCAGCACCTGCAGCTGCAGCTGCTGCAGCAGAAGCTTCTGAAGCAGCAGCAGCAGCGTCAGATACAACAAAAGCAACAGGCCTAGAAGCAGCAAACGAAGCAGCAGCAGCAGCAGCAGCAGCAGCAACAGGAGCAGCAAAAGACGCAAACGAGAGAACAGCAGCAGGAGTGGAACAAGCGCCACAAGAAGCTACAGCAGCAGCAGCAGCAGCAGCAGAGGAAGCAGCAGCAGCAATACAGGACCCAGAAGCCGCAGCAGCTGCAGGAGCAGCAGAAGAGGCAGCCATTCGTGAAGCAGTTGCTGCTGCAATAGCAGCAGCAGCAACAACAGAGTCGAGCAGCGGACCGGCTGCAGCAGGAGAGGAAGCAGCAGCAGCAGCAGCAGCAGCGGCAGCTGCAGCAGCAGCACAAGAAGAGGCAGCAGCAGCAGATGGGGAGGATGCCGCAGCAGAAGCAGAAACAATAGCAGCAGCAAGCGCAGAGAAAGCAGCAGCAGCAACAGCAGCAGCGGAAGCAGCAGCAGCAGAAGCCGCGCGGTGTAGCGATGCAGCAGCAGCAACAGCAGCAGCAGCAGCAGAAGCAGCAGTAAGGGCGTCGGAGCTTGAGCCAGCTGAAGCAGCAGCAGCTGCTGCACCAGCCGCAGAAGCAGCAGCAGCAGCAAAAAGAGCCACAGAGACTGCAGCGATCGAGGCAGCAGCAGCAGAAGCAGCAGCGGACGCAGCAGCAGAAACAGCAGCAGCAGCAGCAGAAGCAGCAGCGGCGCCGGGAGTCGCGAAGACAGCAGCAGCAGCAGCTGCCGCAGCAGAAGCAGCAGCAGCAGCAGAAGCAGCGGCGGCGAGGGAAGCAGACGCAGCAGTGGCAGCAGCTGAATCGGCAGCAGCTGCGGAAGCAGCAGCAACGGAAGCAGCAGCAGCAGCAGCAGCAGCAGCGGCAGCAGCAGCAACAATGACAGGGGCAGCAGAAGTCACTTCGACGCCCGCAGCTGCAGCAGCACAGCCAGCAGCAGCACCCGAATCCAAGGCGAAAGCAGCGCCTGCAGCAGAAGCAGCAACAGCTACAGAAGCAGCAGCAGCAGCAGCAGCAGCAGCAGCAGCAGCAGCAGCAGCAGCAACAGCAGCAATTGCTGTTATTCCACGCAGCGAAGATGGCTCAAAAGGGGAAATGGGGGCCACTTTGTTTGACCCCCAAAAGGGCCTTTGCACATTCCGGTTCTGGGGGCCCCACGTAGAGGAAGCCTGGGTGAGGGTTTAGGGTTTAGGGTTTAGGGTTTAGGGTTTAGGGTTTAGGGTTTAGGGTTAGGGGTTTCTGAGCTCGCGTGCGACTGGAGGCTTTTGCTGCCGGCAAGAGCCCCGCTGAGCCTGTGCCGAGGAGGGTTTGGGGCTGCGGGCGTGGACCGAGGGTTTAGGGTTTAGGGTTTAGGGTTTAGGGTTTAGGGTTTAGGGTTTGGCGCAGGTGGAAGTGGCTGGCAGCAAATTTCCCATGGAAAGAGAGCCAGGTGACCAGTGGTCAGTTAGCCTTTCGGGTGTCTGCGGAGGTGCTGCTTATCATTTCATTTTTGCTTCCAACTGCAACGACTGCTTCCACCAAGAAGGCCATTTGCTGCACCGCCGTGATATTTAGGGTTTAGGGTTTAGGGTTTAGGGTTTAGGGTTTAGGGTTTAGGGTTTAGGGTTTAGGGTTTAGGGCAGTGGTCAGCTTAGGGTTTAGGGTTTAGGGTTTAGGGTTTAGGGTTTAGGGTTTAGGGTTTAGGGTTTGCGGTTTAGGGTTTAGGGTTTAGGGTTTAGGGTTTAGGGTTTAGGGTTTAGGGTTTAGGGTTTAGGGTTTTGTACGGTTTAGGCTTTCGGGTTTAGGGTTTAGGGTTTAGGGTTTAGGGTTTAGGGTTTAGGGTTTAGGGTTTAGGGTTTTGTTGAATTGGGGCTGGCGTTCTCGGTTTGCCCCGCTTCAAGGTGCTCTAGGGTTTAGGGTTTAGGGTTTAGGGTTTAGGGTTTAGGGTTTAGGTTTAGGGTTTAGGGTTTAGGGTTTAGGGTTTAGGGTTTAGGGTTTAGGGTTTAGGGTTTAGGGTTTGTATTTAGGGTTTAGGGTTTAGGGTTTAGGGTTTAGGGTTTAGGGTTTAGGGTTTAGGGTTTAGGGTAGGGGAAGGGTTTAGGGTTTAGGGTTTAGGGTTTAGGGTTTAGGGTTTAGGGTTTAGGGTTTAGGGTTTGGGGTTCCGGCTGGGGTTCGCGCGCAGCCTGCTCGGCCCTCGGACCCATGGGGCAGCAGTGCTCCTGCTGCAGCAGCACCTGCTGCTGCTGCTGCAGCACCTGCTGCTGCTGCTGCTGCTGCAGCACATGCTGCTGCTGCTGCAGCACATGCTGCTGCTGCTGCTGCTGCTGCAGGTGACCCCTACGCGCGTTTTTGCGACTTCAACAGCAACGACTGCTTCGTCGTTTTGCCCCCCGCAGCAGCAGCAGCAGCAGCAGGGAAAGAAGCAGCAGCAGCAGCAGCAGCAGCAGCAGCAGCAGCAGCACCTCCAGCCCTGGAGCCGTGGAACAAGTGGATTATATATGAACTTCACCCTTCTACTTTCGCCCAGCCAAAGGAAGGCCAAACGTGAGCAACAGCAGCTAGGGTTTAGGGTTTAGGGCTTAGGGTTTAGGGTTTAGGGTTTAGGGTTTGGGGTGTGTGCGCAGGGTGTTTGAGGCAATCGGGGAAAAGCTGGACTACATAGCCTCTCTGGTGCGTCTGGGCGCCAGGGAGGTTCGGGCAGTAGGGTTTGGGGTTTAGGGTTTAGGGTTTGGGGTTTAGGGTTTA